CTATATATATATATATATATATATATATATATATATATATATATATATATATATATATATATATATATATATATATATATATATATATATATTGTATGCATTTATGTGTGTATATATATATATTGTGTGTGTGTGTTGTCTGTGTGTGTGTGTTGTGTGTGTGATATATAGTGAAGTGTTTACGATCTGAATAGTCAAAGCCAGTTAACTATACAAGTTGGCGTATAGTTGCAGAAAACGTCGAAATACTCTGCATACTCATGCGAAAGGTTAACATCAGCCTTGTGGAAATTATGTATTAGCTCATGTAGATGTGTAGCTATGATACTATGCTAATGCGTGCATATACCTTCACTTGAACCATGCAGCTGCATACGTGTACAACATACATATATGCAGCGGAGAACTCTATTTCTAGACAGCTTAACTGATATTTTCAGATTTGATAAGAACATATAACTGACGCATGCCTCTCTTTACCTTACTAGTTGATCTCCGCGTTCCTGAACCGTGACCCGCGCAGACGCCTGGGCTGTGGTCCCAACAAGGCGAACGACATCAAGTCGCACCCCTTTTTCAGGCGATTGGACTGGAATGCCGTATCTTCTCGTCAGGCCACACCACCATTCGTACCTAAAGTTCGTAGAATACATGTGGATATAATGTGTATTACTGTTTGGAAGTTTTGTGTTTGCATTGATTCGTCTAAATGGGATAAACCTGGTTTCAAACTATCTGTGTTTAAGGTTCTTTGCCAGCGCATCGTAGACAATGGGTTTACCTAAAGTCTTTTGCTTCTTGGGTTCTCTTAGTAAGTTGGATTCTTCTAAATGGAGGCCACGAATTTAAAACTGCTTGTGTAGTAGGTTCCTTGCCCGAGTTTTAAGTTGCATTTTGGACCGGCCGTAGCATGTGCAACACTCAAAAACCAACAACAACATATTTAGTCTAATATGCACTGTCACATCTAGTATGTCAAAATAAAGTTTATCTTTATATCAACATGCTCATTATTTGTGTTATCCGTCGTGACCATCAAGCAAATGTGTGCAAGATATTAGGTACTTGTCGTCTTTTTTTTATAGTGCTAGAGTGTCTTTTTGTATTGTTTGCATGCTCGTATGACGCCAATACTAATACTCTCCTGTGTGCTGTATATACAAACTGTATACACAAATGTGTAGGGCCGTTGTCACAGCCTGTCTTCGAAAGATATTTCTGAGCAATACTAAACGCCGATTTAGACATGCACTTTCGCCCAAAGAGACCTCTGAACATAGGGTTTTAGGGTTTAATCACGACAGTTACTTGTGCAAGCTCAGAATATCGATACCTATACTCACGGTCCGCCTGTGTGCTATGTATACAAATGTATAGGTGAGTGGTACGGCGGACACGGCTATGTTCGAGAAGAAGTATCTAACCGAGAAGGCAGCGTTGACCCCACTCAACAAGAAGACCATCGGACAGATCGATCAGGTGTGTTGTAGGGCTCAATCGGCGAAATGTAAGGTTTAATCAGCAAGTTTCAGGTTTTATTCAGCCAGTGTGCGCATTGGCAAGATCAGCGAGTGTGTCTTTTGTGGTTGATTAGGATGATTTAGGGTTTAAAACGTATGTTTTCCCGGATAGAAAGTCTCAGAATATAATATTTACGGCGTTTGTAGAGTACAGACATGTGTGCAATATGACTTTTCATTCGATTTGCACTTTCACACACACAAGAATATTCACAACATATCTTTTGATGTACGTGTTTCTCACTTTACTCTTTAACATGCACGCGCAGATGGAATTCCATGACTTCTCGTTCGTCGCCCCCAATTTTCTCTGAGTCGCAGAGCCACAAAAACCTGCTGATATGACGCACACCCGGTGGTCATAGACAGTCTGAGCATGTACATAGAGCTCGCACAGCGAAGAATTGTATATACTTCCAGGGCTTCCGCAGAACCAGTTACAGTATACTATGCGCTTGTAAGAAAACTATAGGAGTTGCAGGTACGGAATCCTGCATCTAGCGCAGCGTCCTTCTGTGGCGAAAGGACCTTTCTGTGTGCGTGGAGCACGAGCTGGTGTATATGAGAGTGAAAGCGGACAAGACAAGGAAATAGGTAAATAAACGTGTCCCCTATAATGCTGCATTTTTAAATATCAACTAAATAGCATAGATAGCTGTATTAGCTGTTCTTAGGCACATGTATTCGTGGAGACGGTAATTTCAAGGTAAAGAAGTTCTACTGTACTATTGGCTTATAGTCTCCAAGAGCCTGCGGATATAACAGGCGACAAAGGGCTGCTGTCGGGTTGTCAACGGTGCAGTTACACGTGTGTTTTCAACAGGGAGACTTGTTTTTCTACTTCAATTAGGTATGAGCTGCATTTGGCTCAGTGCAGTCAGGGCCGGGGCTAAACCTGCACCTGGACCGGTGAACTTGGACCGGTGAGACCAACCTTTTACTATTACCTACATAACCTCTATTTATTAATTTTTAGTACATTGATTCGAAAGTGGATAAAATATTTTAAAAGATGGTTTTGTGCATGCATGAGATTTCCCTCCTATGTTTCTCCTATCTATATTTAAAAGCTGTCGAAGACGTGCATCTGTACGTAAAATAAGATCGTCTTCGAGAATGCGGGGGCTATGGGCACAGCTGACTCCGCAACTTCATCGCACTCCAGTAACTGCTCTCGGACAACTACCAACCTTCTCTTCAACCGCAACATGATGCTCCTCAAGTGCTGTCTCAGCCCTAGCAAGAGATTCCTCCAACACAGATGCACCCGGCAGCACAGTACTAGTCATGTTGTACAACCTTAAGTGAAAACTCACCAAGCGTAGGATCATGACCACAACGGATCGGCTTTCTCGCGACACCTGCCAATGCCGATGCAATGTCACAATGTCATCCAGCCTATGCGGTAATAGGGCTCTCACTACCTCACTGGGCAACGGCCGATGCACTCACCGTCACCCAAAAATTATCAGCCAACGTAAACTTCGTCCATCAAAGACTGAGGGAACAAATTAATGTCACAAACGAAGGCGGTGGCATCGGATAACGCCTATGTTTGAGAACACTGTATGCGGCGGCGGAATCGCAACGGGTGTGTTCGTCAAGAGGGGATCCATCTGCTGCAACCATGGTACGGAACAACCACTGTGGCTATGGCACTATCACATCTAATCCGCTGAATCACAGCGTCCAATCCAGAAAATGGCGAATTTATAAACCATCGTCGTCCAAACCAAGTGTCCAACGTAGACACATCACTCGCCGAAGTCGGCGAATTCAAATTACTGCCTGCTAAGGCAATTTACTCAGCACTAATGGCTGCACTATTGTCATCAAAGGCTCATGATCAGTATTCACCACCCAGTCATGTACTCACCGACGAACAATCCGCTTGTACCTGCATTTGCTCGCAGCCTGATTGATTCAGTTATTCGCCAAGTCGATCAATTTCGGCTTTGGAGGTTCCGTACTTGCCTCTAACGTGTTTGGCCATAGTACTAATGATGTCAGGGTATGCAATTACATGAATCGCTTGTCTGGTAAGTTGCCTGGATTATACCGTTCGTTGATGATATTGTCGAGATGGTTATTGCATTCCTCTAGTGATTGTATGCAGGACAGTCTTGCCAAAACCGTACTGCAAAAGTGTTTGTTTCGGTGACAGTGTCGAACCCTTAGGTAGTGGATCGCACAGCTTTAGTAGTGTGTTCACGATTGTGACCTAAGAGTGTGATTGTTCAATGTTGCTGAAAGTGATTATGACATCGACATATTTAATCGTGACGGTAGGTGGGTTGGCAAGGATCATCCTGTGGCTGTAGTACAGTCCAGAAACAGGATACAATGGATCCAACTATGTGCACGGAGGGTTACATAAAGTGCAAGGAGAAGCGCAGGGTTACGTTCTCCGATCCGATTGTCACCACACTCTAGATGGAGGATTATAGCCTCGCACAGAGATGATTTGAAAAGGCATGGGTCAGAGTAAGGCCATTTGATGCGGTAGGATTTGCGCAATCTGACAACAATTTGATATCAACGTTCTTGCAGCCCACCTTGGCCGATGAGGTATTCTCCCTGTTGACGTGGTTTGGCATAAGTTGGTATATGAACTCACCATGGCCGAAGTTGCCGGCAGTGACCCAGCGCATTGAGCAAGATAGGTCCAGTGCCATTGTGGTGTGTCCTTACAATCCCGAGGCGCCATGGTTCAGCACATGATGCCCATATTGTCGGATGTGCCTATTGTTGCCATGCCACAACAAGGCGTGTTTTAAAAGCACGGACGTACGGAGATGCCCACCTCACATCATTACGCTGTTATGTCACCTCAGCCCTCGACAGTTTCGACTGCGGCTTTCTTTTTGGGTTAGTTTAGAATGGAAGCGCGCTCTACCAGGGGCAGTGGTAGAGGCTATGACGGCCGCAGCGTCAGGGCCTAAGTCATGTTTGAAGTTGGAAGAGGTGGTTGAGAAATCAATGCCCCGTTCGGCTAGGGCATGATCCAGTGCTGGGGACATTTCACATGGCACCAGAGGAACACTTTTCGACCACGGAGACATTCGTGTGGAGCTCCCGACCGTTCTAGCAGGTAGAACTGGGCTTAGCCTTCTTTGCACAGCTGACCTCAGGTAGGTGGTGTTCGATATTAGCACTGCAAGCAGTGGAAAAGTCTCCACTGGCCGCGCAGGCAGCGTGGTTTGCGGGCCACAAGGCATACATTGGTGTTGTGACTAGAGCGCAGAAGCGCGCACGTGCGATATATTATCGGGCGCCACAGAGAAACAGCTCGGCTGCATGAGTTAGCATAACAGCGGGTGCAAGGTTTCGCCGACTACGAGTCGGTAACCATGAACAAAGAAGTACCAGACACATAAATTTACGGATAACGAGACACTCGAGAATGTGCGCAAGAATCTCTGTGTGATTGAAGTGAGGGATCACATGGTCATGAAAGTACTCAGGTGTACCCATGAGCTTTCCCCCATGCATCCACCACAAGATCGGTTGGCCTGGCTAGAGAACTATGGGGTTGGCAAGGCCTCCAGGCACAGTGTATGTATATTATAATACTTGTTCTCCGTATCAAGATGTGGCAGGGGAACGTGGCAAGCCAAAGACTTGCTCTAGCAGCCTGCTCCGCCCGAAGCCTCTATGTCTGTAATTCATGGGGAAAAATATGGAATTTCCTTCTGCAGACGAGTTACGATATGTTTTGCTAGCCGTTGACATTGTTCCGAATGGTGATTGTGCACATATTACCTCCGTCTGTTTCGGGTGCGCAGGTCGTGCGCTTTGTTGAAGAACAACTTCTTGCGTTGGTTTCACCTACGCGTATTGTTATGGACGCTGACACCCGTTTCAACGACAAGGATATGGCGAATTCGTTTTTGCGGAGAAGCATCACCCCGTACTTTGTCACTATAAATCGCCATCGGGGCAGCGGTAAGGCGGAAGTTCCGCAAGGAGATTGCTGATGTGGCCAATGTATATTTATGACGTCATTCGAGTTTTCAATTCCACTGTCAATGCTGTTACGGGGTTCGCACCCTATTTGCATCTTACTGGCAGAAATTCCTCTAGTTTGCATATCAAATTATGATCTCCAGTCTAAAGATATGTTTGTTTCTGAGAGAGGGACAGAAGCGTTGCTACGTGATCGGTTCGTGTCTTGCGGGATGTCCAAGCTCAAATACTGAGATACACCAGTGCAAGCCAGCTGATGCAGTCAGGCAGGATGTTCCTTTCTTTCAAGTGGGTGACTGGGTTCACTTTAAAGTACGTTTTTCCACGCGTGACATGGAAGCTGAATATGCAGGCCCAGGGCGCGTCGTGATTGTCAACCCACCGCTGCAGCACAAGGTAGAGATTTCTAAAGGCGTTAAACACACCAACCGATGCAGGAACTACGTCGGTGACGAGCGATCACAGCTGTACCGCCGTAGTGGGGATTGTGATTGCTGTTTGCGTGTTACCGGTGTTAGAACACCAGTGATTTAGGGTGCCACCATTTCTTTTTTGTGGAATGAACCAATCTAATTGGCGGATGGTACTTACGAAAGCTGAAGATGTGGATTGAGCATCATAAGTACACACGGCAGAAGAATCACTAGAACAGGGATACAGGTAGATGTAGATAGGTACATAGTAATGTGTACGATTCGGGAAGGGGTCGGACCACATGGGGTGCACCCATTTGGGTATGGACCTAGCGAGAAAGGATGAGTGTAAAGGAACTCAGCGTCCAGGCTGCCTACACTAATAGTTCAGTAATAAAGTGATAATAGTTGTGTAAAGAGATGTTTTGAGTGCCAATCTATATAAGCACGGCACGAAACCAAAACGTCATTCGCAAGCGACTGATCTAGTTTTGTGAACTGTAGAATAACGGTTTAATATACCAGAGCATTCTGTCTATAAATTATTCATTATATATATATATATATATATATATATATATATATATATATATATATATATATATATATATATATATATATATCGTACGTACGTACGTACGGTACCGTA